GCAAATCAGTCAATGTAATACATCACATCAATAAGAGAAAGGATAAGAACCATGTGATCATTTCAATAGATGCAGAAAAAGCATTTGACAAAGTACAATGTTCATGATAAAAAACCCTCAAACAGTAGGTTTGGCGGGAACATACCTCAACATAATAAAGGCCATATGTGAAAAACCCCCCCACAACTAACATCATTCATACTCAATGGTGAAAAAGTGAGAGCTTTCCCGTAAGGTCAGGAACAAGACAGAGATGTCCACTCTCACCACTTTTATTTAATATAGTCCTGGAACTCCCAGCCACAAGCTATCAGAAAAAAGCAATAAAGGCCATCCAAATTGAAAAGGAGGAAGTAGGGACACCTGGGTGACTCAGTCAGTTAAACACCTGCCTTCGGCTCAGGTCATGATCCTAGGGTCCTGGGATCGAGCCCCGCATCAGGCTCCTGCTCAGTGGATAGCCTGCTTCTCTCTCTCCCTCTGCCTGCCACTCCCCCTGCTTGTGCTCTGTCAAATAAGTATTTAAAAAAGAAGGAAGAAGTAAAACGTTCACTTATTTTCAGATGACACCATACTACAAAGAACCACTTTCTTACACCATACCCTAAAGACCACCAAAAAACTACTAGAACTGGTAAATGATTTCAGTTAGGTTGCAGGATACAAAATCACTCTCCAGAAATCTGCATTACTATATGCCAATAATGAAGCAGCAGGTAGAGAAATTAAGAAAACTACCCCCCCAAAAAATTCCCATTTACAGTTGCACCAAAAATAATAAAATACCTAGGAATAAACAAAGGAGGGGAAAGACCTGTACTCTGAAAACTATACTGATGAAAGAAATTGCAGATGACGCAAACAAATGGAAAGATACTCAATGGTCATAGATTGGAAGAATAAATATTGTTAAAATGTCCACACTAGGGGTGCCTCAGTGGCGCAGTCAGTTGAGCGTACAACTCTTGGTTTTGGCTCAGGTCATGATCTCAGGGTCGTGACATGGAGCCTTGCATTGGGCTCTGCGCTCAGCACAGAGTCTGCCTCTCTTCTCCCCCACCACCCCCTGTGCTCACTCTCTCAAATAAATACGTGTTTAAATAAAAATAAAAAACAAAATGTCTATACTACCCAAAGCAATCTATAGATTTAATGCAATCCCTATCAAAATACCAACAGCATTTTTCACAACTAAATCCTAAAATTTGTATGGAACCACAAAAAAGACTCCGAATAGCCAAAACAATCTTGAAAAAGAAAAGCAAAATTGGAGGTATGACAATCCCAGATTTCAAATCATACCACAAAGCTGCAGTAATCAAAACAGTATGGTACTGGCACAAAAATAAGACACAGATCAATGGAACAGAGAGCCCAGAAATGGACCTACGATTATATGGTCAATTACTTTTTGACACAGAAGGCAAGAATATACAATGGAAAAAAAATAGTCTCTCCAACAAATGGTACTGGGAAAATTGGGACAGCTATATGCAACAGAATGAAATTGAACCACTTTCTTACACCATACACAGAAATAAATGGATTAAGGACCTAAATGTGAGAACTGAAACCATAAAAATCCTAGAAGAGAGCACAGGCAGTAAGGTCTCTGACATTGGCCACAGCCAACATTTTTCTAGATGTCTCCTGAGGCAAGAGAAACAAAAGCAAAAACTATCAGGACCACGTCAAAATAAAAAGCTTCTGCACAGCAAAGGAAACAATCAACAAAACTAAAAGACAACTGACAGAACAGGAGAAGGTATTTGCAAATGACATAGCCAATAAAGGGTTAGTATCCAAAATATATAAAGAGCTATAACTCAACACCAAAAAATAATAATCTATTAAAAAATAGGCAGAAGACACGAACAGACATTTCTCCAGAGAAGACCTCCAGATGACCAACAGACCCATGAAAACATGCTGAGCATCACTCAGCATCAGGGAAATGCAAATCAAAACCACAATGACGTACACCTTACACCTGCCAGAATGGCTAAAACCAAAAACACAAGAAACAGCAAGTGCCGGCGAGGACGTGGAGAAAAAGGAACCCTTAAGCATGGTTGATGCGAATGCAAACTAGCACAGCCACTACGGAAAACAGCATGGAGTTTCCTCAAAAAAAAATAGAATTTCCATATGATCCAGTAATTCCACTATTGGATATTTACCCACAGAATATGAAAACACTTATTCAAAAAGATACATGCACCCCTATGTGTTCTATTCTTTTGAGATTTTTTTTTCAGGTGATCTCTACACCCAGTGTGGGGCTTGAACCCACAACCCAGAGATCAATAGTCCCACAGCCCTCCAGGAGCCCTCACCCGTTTGCTGCAGCATTATTTATAGTAGCCATATTATGAAGGCAGCGCAAGTGTCCCCTTTTTTTTTTTTTTTAAGATTTTATTTATTTATTTGACAGAGAGAGACACAGTGAGAGAAGGAACACAAGCAAGGGGAGTGGGAGAGGGAGAAGCAGGCTTCCCGCTGAGCAGGGAGCCCGATGCGGGGCTCGATCCCAGGACCCCGGGACCATGACCTGAGCTGAAGGCAGACGCTTAACGACTGAGCCACCCAGGCGCCCCACAAGTGTCCCTTGATAAATGAATGAAGTTGTACACACACACAATGGAGTATTACTCAGCGGTAAAAAAGAATGAAATCTGGCCATTTGCAACAACATGGATGGATCTAGAGGGTATGATGCTATGAGAAATAAGTCAAAGAAAGATAAATGCCATAGGATTTCACTCATATGTGGAATTTAAGAAACAAAGGAAATTTAAAAAGAGACAAACTCCCAAACAGACTCTTAACTCTAGAGGGGAGGTGCGGGGATGGGGGTAACAGGTGAGATTCCATTTACCATGATAAGCAGAGTAATATATAGGATTATTGAATCACTATACATCAGAAATGAATACAGCACTGTATGTTACCCATGCTGGAATTGATTTTTCATCAATTTTTAAGAAAACGGCTGGGGCGCCTGGGTGGCTCAGTCAGTTAGGCATCTGCCTTCGGCTCAGGTCATGATCCCAGGGTCCTGGCATCGAGTCCCACATCGGGCTCCCTGCTCAGTGGGGAGCCTGCTTCTGCCTCTGCCTCTGCCCCTCCCCCTACTTGTGCTCTCTTTCTCTCTGACAAATAAAATCTTAAAAAAAAAAAAAAAAAAGAACTGGCTGCAAGAGCTGGATGGCCGTCGGCTCCTGTGAGGACATGAGGCTCTCCTGTTGTTAGGCAAGTCTTGTCGTGGGTGCAAAAGTAGCACATTGGCAGTTTTTTTCTTTTTTTTTCTTTTTTTTTCTTTTTTTTTAAGATTCCATTCATCCATTTGTCAGAGAGAGAGAGCGCACAAGCAAGGGGAGTGGCAGGCAGAGGCAGAGGGAGAAGCAGGCTTCCCGCGGAGCAAGGATCCCGATGAGGGGCTCGATCCCAGGACCCCGGGATCACAACCTGAGCCGAAGGCAGTCGCTTAACCAACTGATTGGCAGTTTTTCTTTTTTTTTTCCTCAGTTTTTTTTAACCTTAATTATGTTTTAAGTATTGGTATCCACTACAGCTGTTCTAGGTAATATGTAAGAATGATAAATTTCTTATTCACATTTGGTCTATTTCATGATGCTCTGCAAGGTCTGTTAGTCTTACCACCTCCACAAGCCTGAGGACCCATTAGGCTGTGACTACAAATATCACCAGATCCCAGCGACGCTCCAGCAATATTGTCCCAGGCTCCTCCCAGTTGTTAGGGTGACCCCCTGTCAAAGCCAGTGCGTGGGGACAGGAGGCAGGACAGGGCAGGCAGGGTCCCGGGAACCAGATGCTGTGACGGCACACAGGAATCATGGGTCACTGTGCATATCTCACTGTGAGAAACACTGGCCCCAAAGTCAAAGTCACAGTGGTCTTCCACATATTTACTGTTTTATAATTTCATGATAAAAATAAAAAGCAACTGGAGAAGCTGCGTCATCTTGAGCGCTCAGACTCCTACGGCGGCAGCCAGAGGTTCCCGGAGGCTCTGAGTCCGGCGTGAGAAACGTCATCCCCGAGCGGACCCGAGATGTCCGGTCTAACAGCGAGATGGCAAACAAATAGCAAAACTAACGAAGGAGTGGAGGAGTAACAAGAACTGGCCAGGAATGGGGAGCATTAAGCCAGGAAACGGCAGAAGGGTGCCAGGTTGCTCCTGAGCACGGCTCCCCTCCCCTCTCCTGTTGCCAGCCTGTTGTCACCTTGACCCAAGTGCCCGAAGGTGGAGGAAAAGTTCCAGGGTCCTTCCCCCTGTATTCAGCTCCGGTTCTGTTCCCCCTGACTCTCCTGTCTTCTCACCTCCTGGGGGCTCCCCGGCAGGCTGTCACGGCCCAGCCCATCCTCGGAGCTCCGCCTGCTCGCACCGCGAGACTGAGCCTCATTAGCTCCGAACCAAATGCCAGAGGCCACTTCAGTGTGCTTTCTGAAACTGCATCACTGCAGAGTGGTGACATTACAGTGTCACTTCTGGGCGCCTGGGTGGCTCAGTTGGCTAAGCGACTGCCTTCGGCTCAGGTCATGATCCTGGAGTCCCGGGATCGAGTCCCGCATCGGGCTCCCTGCTCAGCGGGGAGTCTGCTTCTCCCCCTGACCCTCTCCCCTCTCATGTGCTCTCTCTCATTCTCCCTCTCAAAATAAATAAAATCTTTAAAAATAAATAAATAAATCTTTAAATAAATAATAAAATAAAGCGTCACTTCTGTAACCCCTCCATCCCTCCCAGCACCTCAGAGCACAGGTGCAGGGCCGGGGCCTCCCCACGCCCCCCCATTTCCTCAGGCTCCTACCCTATCCGTCTTGCCAAACAAGGCAACCCCGCCTCAACAGGGAGGTGCTCCTGAGATGCGGCCACCAGGGAGCGGCAAGGACGCAGGGGTAGGAAGGGGGCCTCTCCCCTCCCCACAGCCTCTGTCCTGACACGCAGTGACACACACACATTCTGCTCCCACACTTTATTGGGACAAAGGAGGGGGCGGGCAGACCAACACCACAGACCCACCCACCAGGGGGGTCCAGACTTGAGCACCCGGCACAGCTTGAGTACATAATAAATACAGGCAACGTGGGTGGCGCGCGGGTCGGGGGGGTCCATACGCAGGAAGGACACTCGAGGCCCTTCCAGTCTCGGGATCCGAGGCGCACGCAGTACTGGCACAGTCCACTCACAGAGGAAGGAGGCAGAGGGGCGCGGTTTCCGCTGTGCAGATGGGAAGGGAGACGTTTCCTCGCGCAGGTGGGGAAGAGGAGAGAGCTGGAGGGAAACTCCTTTTCACATTTCGAAAAAGCAGATTTCACCTTACAGATGGCACGAGAGGGAAGAAGGAAAGTTGGTTTCCCATTCGCACACATGGCCGTGGGGAGGGGAGAGAGTCATTTTGTGGCGGGGCAGACGCTTCTGCGGCCACCGGCGTGCACAGGCCCGTGGCCCCGGGGCCGTTCCATTCCCAGGGCGCAGGAGGGAGACACGGACGGGACAGGGGCTCGGCCTAGAGGACCAGAGAGGTGTACCCCACGGGCACCAGCCCCTCCGCGCCATCCCGCCCACAGCGGAGCCAGTCCTCGTCCACGGTGGCGACCACTCGCAGCACCTCCCCGCGCCTGAAGCTGAGCTGGTCGGGTCCCACCGCGGTGTGGTCACAGAGCGCGCGGACGGCCCTGCGGGGAGCCAGAGGGACAGGCTGGCATGAGCGAGGCGGGCACCCAGCTGTCCCCAGCACGCCTTCCCCACCGCGTGGGGCCAGTGCTGACAGGGCTCCGGCAGAGGGTCAGGGACTATCCATCGATGTGTGGGTTCTACCGGGGGCCCTGCCGAGCTCCAAAGCTGGCACCGGCCGCTTATCTGACCCCACCCGCGTTCTCTGAGCCTTCAAATTCGACCTACGCAAACTAAGCGACTTATCTGCACCCTCCCAGCCAGGCGTCCTTTGGGCCCCCTCGGGGGCAAACACACCACCTTCCCCCCAGGGGCTGCTGGCAGCCGGTGCATCGCCCCCAAAGCTCGTTTGCCCCCCGCATCCCCACCACTCCGTCCACTCTCCTTTTCATGTCCACTGCTGCCGCCCTCCTCACTCTCTCTGGACCACACCACGGGGTCTGGTCCCCTCTCCCCGCCCCATCCCTCCTGGACTGCCTGCCCCAGGCCCCTTCTCCACCCTGAGATCAGAGATCCTTCTAAAACACAGGCCAGCATTTCATCCCCGGGTGGATGACCCCCTTCGCGGGCTCCCAGGGCCTCCACCCTGAAGTCCGGTTCCTTAACCGACCCGCTGAGGCCTCCAGCATCCCGTCACCACCACTGACATCCTCGCCCCAGACCCGAGCAGGGCACAGTTCCTCACCAGCCACACCCGGGCCTCGCTGCCCCACCCCCACCATCACCGGGCCTTCCCGGAGCCCCCAGACCTGGCCCCAAAGGACTCAGACCTCCCTGCCCAGAGTAGCCGCCACACACAACGGTAACTGCACATTTGCTCGCTGGAACCTCCTCTGGGCCACAAGCTCCAGGAGGGCACGGGCTCCGGGCATTTGCCCTCCTGTTCCCTCCCACAGCATCATACTGGGCACGAAGTACTTGAAGAACACCGTCAAAGGAAGGAAAAGTCAAGAAACCTAATTCAGCGGACTGAGAGCAGCCAACTGAAGCCAGACTCCAAAGCAGAAGCGGCCCCCGGTGTCAAACCCAAGCAGGCCGCTCCGGGGGACACCCGCAGACGCGGCCGAACCAGGCAAGCGCTGCCCGCCCGGCTCGGCCCGAGGCTTCCTGCTCCCTCGGGGCCCTGACGGAGTGGGGTCACCGCCTCGTACAGGGAACAACACAGGCCCAGACAGAGACGACAACTTCACGCCAACAACAGGACAAGCGCTATCTGACCTCACAGCCCCTGGCCTTTCACGCCACTACCCACCCCTGCCCCCCGTAAACTTGAAATGCACCCCCCACCTGTGGGTCTGCACCACGCTGGCGACGGAGGCCTCAAGCTCCTCAGGAGGCGAGAGAGGCTCGGGAGGGGCCCCCCGCTTCACCAGAGCCAACACACTCACTGTCGGGGGCAGCCAGCTGGACGGTCTCCTGGAGAGAACACGGGGTCACAGAGGTCACCTGACCTCCAGGGAAGGACCCAAGGACCCAGGACTTTGGAGGCAAGAAGAGGCTGAAGGGCCTGATTCCAAAGAGGTCAGGAGTGGATCACTGCTGAGCGCCCTTCAGGGTGATTAGGGAGGTGGTGACACCCAACACCAAGAGGGACCTACGGAAGGTCACACCCAGGGACAAGAATCAGCACTGTTTTTCTTTTTGTCAAGGGCCGGATAGGAAACATTCCTGGCTTTGAGGGCCAAGAGGCCGAACGGAGCGAGTCATGCTGGCTCCCGTAGCAAAAGGACAACCAAGGCCGTGGACCTCAGGCCTAAGCGATCCCGGCAAGGCCAAGCAGGGGTGACTGAGGTGCTGAGGAGGGGACCGGCTACCCTAGTACCTGGACTTCCCGGTTCCTCCGTCAGTTTCCGTGAGGCCCCCGGGCACTCCAAACAGCCTCCCCAGCCACACGCCTCGGCCCGGTGCGGCGTCCTCTGCCGGCACAGGCCTCTCCCGTGGGCCTCCAGCCGCCGTCCCGGGACCCCACGACCTCCACCGGGGAAGAGGGAAGCCCTCGGCGCCCCCGGAGGCGTAGACCCGGGAGGCCTGGGTCAGCTGCTCCCACCAGCTGCCTGGTGTGGGGGCGCCAGCGGGAGCCGAAGGGCCCGGAGGCGTCTCCCCGGAAGCCCCCCGAAGGCTCTGGGCCAGCCTCCCCCCCCAGTGCAGCACGGCGTGCACCGTCTGCCGCAGGGCGGGGGGCGAGCCCGGGGCCGAAGCGGCGGGGGGCGGGCCCAGGGGCAGGTGGTGGTGGTGCTCAAAGAGCAGGTCCAGGTGGAAGGTGAGCACTGACAGCGGCTGCAGCAGGAGCAACAGCTCCGCGGACAGGGCCGGGCAGCCACCCCGAGCCAAGGACAGGAATCCCGTGGGCAGGTACAGGAGGGACAGCAGGCCTGGGGACGAGCGGGCTGCCATGAGCCGCCCCGCCCCCGCCCAGCCTCCGGCTATGCTGGGAGCTGGGGGGACGGAGCCCGGGGCCCCGCACAATGAGGGGTGACACTGAATGACAGGAAGTCGGGGAGCCCCCGGAGCAACATGGTGTGGGGGTGCGCTAGCCTGGCGCCTCACCCAACGAGGCCCCAAGCATGAGCTAGCGCTCCTGAGGAGGCAAGGGGAAAACGACAAAATGACGCGGGGCCTGGGGCAGGAGAGCCAGGGAGGCAGGGGAAGGAGGAAGCGGAGGACAGGCAGGCCCTGGGGGTTTGAAGAGGGTGTGGGTCTTTCCCGCTGTGGGGCGACGGACGCACTGGATGTGTGCGGCACAGAATAATACAAGTGGACACGGAGATCGAGGTCACTCTGGCTTCACCGGGACCAGCAGCAGAGACCGCGCCCTCCCTCCCTCCCTCCCTCCCTCCCAGCCCGGCAGCCCCCCGTGCCCTCCGGCGTCTGACCTGCATCCTCCTGGAGGCTGGAAAACCACAGCTCCAACTGCTTCGTGCTAGGAGAGAAAGGATGGCGCGGGCTCGGGAGGGCGCAGGATGGGGGACGAGCTTCCAGGAGGGACAAGGCCACCAGCACCAGGCTCCTACCGCGCGTGACACCCGTGCGGCCCCCAGGCCGTGGGAGGGGCGCCAGGGGAGCGGCCACTCACTTGAGGAGGCCCAGGATGAAGGCGTGAAAACGGCTGCGGCTGCTGCTCAGCGGGGCCAGGCGGCTGACCTGGCTGTACAGGGTCCCCAGCGCGCGGCTGCTGGCGCCTGCGGACACCGCGCTTTGAGCCCGGCCCAGGCCCGGCCCAGGCCCGGCCCAGGCCCGCCCGGCACCCGCGCCCCCGCCCGCGCCGCACCTGGCTTCACCGACGCCTCCACCACGCTCCAGGGGCTGGTCCTGCGCTGCCCAGTGATGAGATCCTTCCGGAAGGGCTTCAGCCCGTCGGCCACCAGGGCGTGCAGGGCCGGACAGAGGGTGGTCAGCACCAGGTGCCCCACATCTGGGCTCAGCCGGCTATCCCCCAACTGGGCCTGGAGGCGGCACAACGAACACGTCCCAGGCGCCTGCGGCCGCCTCCCCGCCCACCGTTCGTGCGGCCCCAGGGCCTCCCCACCGGCACCCTCACCTTCTGAACCAAGTTCCGGGCAGCCCCAAAGTGCGAGATGATCTTATCCACCGAGGCGCTCACGGCTATCAGGAGCCCTGCGAGGGGCGGGCACGGAGCGCGCGTCTGTGCGGCGCCCGTGCCCGCGCACACCCCAGGGCCCCGGGGCCCCCAGGCTCCTGCAGGCCGGCCCGGAGCCGAGGGCCCAAACCAGCAGCAGGTGACCTGGTGGAAGCTGGGGTCAGGAGTCCGGGCGCCCTACCTTTCTTCTGCTCCTGCAGCTGGCCAGTCCCGCTCTGGGCTTCTGCCATCCACCGTCGCTGGGCCCCGGGGGCGCCGGCGAACGACCAGGAACTCCGGGCTGGGGTGAAGGAAGAACGCGGAGACGCTTACGAGGGTGACCCGAGGACGCCGGGCTGGCGCACAGGTCTCCCTAGGGCCTGCAGCGCCCCGGGCCGGAAGCGAGCAGGGACAGGGCCCGGGGCTGGGTGGGGCGCCCCGCACTCGCCGTCCCCTCCCCCTCCCGGGCCGCGCGGCTACCTCCGCCCGGTCTGCCCCGGGCGGGACGGCGCGCGCCCCGCCCGCTGGGGCCCGTGGAGGGAGGGCAGCCCGGGGAGCACGTGGGGGGCCGGGACCAATGGACAGACAGACCGACGGGAGTGGGAGGAGACACGGAGGGAGAGGCGACCCTGGGGTCGGGAGGCTGGGAGGCGCGGGCGTGGGCCCAGCCGGGTCCGGCGCCCGCTTCTCCCCCACCCTCCCGAGCGAGGCGGGGGCCGGGCCCCCAGCGCCCCCCCACGCCCCGGCACCGCGCAGGCCCCGGACCGTGCAATTGCTGGCACCCCCTTAGCCCGCGCCCCCCCACGCCCGGGCCTCGAGGCCCAGGGCCCAGCCCCGCGGCGGGGGGCGGGGCCAGGTGCCCCCCGCTGGCGGGCGGGGCCGCGCCGCCTCCCCCGCGGACGCTGGGGGCGGAGGTCCGGCGCGGGGGGCGGGGCGACCCCCGCGGGCGAGCCCGGGTCCGTCTTACGTAGCCTGGGCGGAGGCGGCGGGCTCCTGGTCCGGCGGGGGGCCTTCGGCGGGCGCGGCGGCGGTGGCAGCGGGGGGACGGGCACCTGGCGGGGCGGGGGGACCGCGGCGGGGAAGGTGCTGCTTCTGGGAAAGAGCGGGGACAGCAGCAGTGCCAGCTCGGGGCTGGCCAGGCAGGGCAGGGCCCCCCGAGCCGGGGGCGAGTGGGCGCCCACCGGGGACAGGCGGACGGGCAGCAGCTGCTTCTGCGGGGGCCTCGGCGCGCCCAGCTGCCGCAGCCCCGCGCGGGGCGGGCTGGCGGGACGCGCCGGGAGCGGG